AAACGTGCGACGTGTCAACATCAACATTTTTGCACACGCCCTTAAAACAGTGAGCTAGAAATGTATGCCACGCAATTTTCATTGACTTGATTTAAATAAAATCTTAAAGTTCTATAAACAAGGCTTCGTCCAGTTGTTTATTTGTTCTGGGCACGACCTACGACAAAAGTCCTGGTGTGTTATTCAAAATTGAAAGAACCAAACATTTATATTGAAGTGGATACTTCATGATGAAACTTCACAAACAACTTCCATATTGATGTCGGCCAAATTGCATCAGGTAATTAATACAACTTCTGACAATGTAAATCTTGGACTTCAACTCGCTTCGTTTATAAATTACCAAGAAATTTCTGTTTGCTTGTCATCTATACAAAAACATGCTATCTATAACGTGAATCGCATAATCTCAGACACATTAGATCTTGATCATTTCAGTCTTTATAAATTTCAACATGTTTATCCAGTTTCATGACTCCTTGTGACAAAATACACMAGATATGGATGGCTTTTTTGATCTCACTGTTGAGAAATTTGACTTTTCATGATATGGTGTGGTTTCATAAAATGTTCAGCCGTTCGTGTCCTGTGTGGAAGATCGCCTCTCATTTCCAAATAAGACATTATTTTCGCTTAAAAACAAGCACGTTGTAAACAAAAGACMCCATTCTTTCGCTATTCTTGGTAGAATTTTCTCAAATATCTTTTGATCTTGAACAAAAAGTGAGTCATTTTCAAGAGTCTTTCATTCCCGCCTTTTTATGAAAAACGTCAACTTTCATGCGTTGCCCGCGATATACGTGCGGTCAGCGCCAACAAATGTCCCTGCTGTTTGCGTAGCCGGCCTTGTAGTCGGTCGGTGAAAATATAGTTTATTGTATTTTGGTATCCCTGTGTCTATCACTGCGTAGCCGGTGGCTACAGGTAGAGGGTTTGAGTGGCGGGGTATTCGATAGTTGTACCTAAATGTGCAGGACAGGGCAGTCATTCTTATACGCAGCCGAATATATACCACTAATTTTCAAAACTTTACTAGTACTAGTTGAAGCAGCAGATTTTTAGTCTCTTGACCAGCTTTAAGTAGTAAAAATGGAAAAGTGGGTATTTCATCCTCGTCTTTATGTTTTCCATTTTTCTGAACATAACCATAATATTAAAACAACGTAAAAAAACACTTTATTATTATGCAAAGTTTCACGTGCAACATACAACCTTATGACAACAGGTCAGAATGAATGAATTAAATATTTTGTTTTGCAGAACACAAATAAAAAGTGTCAAACGTACCCTTTCTTCTCCGGCTTCTCCAACGACAAAGCCTCCGCTAAATGAGCTTCATTTGTAATAATGAAGCGACGATTCCCGTTAAAATATACTAAGTCAAAGCAGTCAAAGCTAGTATCTTACGTATTTGTTTCCTCTTGGTAATAGTCTACTATGAATTCTTTAAATTAAATATATACAAACCAAAGTTCCTTTCGGTTATGCAACTTTCATTCGCACGCCCACAAATCCGGTGTTTCTCTTTTTTATTGTTGTGTTTAAAAATTCTTTTGTAATGAACTGTTTTTGAGATTATTTTGTTATGAACTGCTTATTCTAGCAGCAAGTCCACTATACCTGTGCATTGAACTAAGAATTTAGTTAAACGTTTAATTTAGGTCCGCATTATGAAGAAAACGAACCCCCCCCCATTTTTAAGGAAGCCTACGGGCCTTGTACTCTCTCTGTTGCAGAGTTCTTGATGTCGCATGTGGCCACTGATAGTGGGCGTCCCGTCAGTCCCACCAGTTATTAGCGCAAGATAGCTAAGGAGCACTAGTTTCAGTTGTAAAATTCTCCCTAATGTACTTTTATCACCATCATCAAGTTTATGATTATTTTTAATTCATTAAGCAATGAATTGGTGACAATACAAATCTTTAAACTTCATCCAAGTGACTCTATAAAATTGCTACAGTAACATTTTCCATTATGTCTCTATCTTTCAACTTGCATGCAGGTCAACATTGTCATATTTACTCAGCCATAGCTAATTCTCACTATTGGGAACCCCTGTCCTTCACTAGATACAAGAATCAAAGGAGCACCTGCTTCTTCATCAATTATTGGATATTCAGGATTTATTTGCCTGTCTATACTGATGAAGCTTTTTCCTTTCTCAATGATCCGCTTGCAGCAGAATCCAAATTATCATCGGAACCGTTAACTTTGGACGTTTTAATTGACGGAAGGACTGCAAATGAAACACTTTTAGGTTTCTTGATGTTTTCTAGTGAGTCAATTTTTGACAAACTAAAAGATACTGATTTTAAATCGTTCAGGTTATGTTTTGGTTGGCCAAGCGTCTCGTCAATATTACTCCAGGATGAACTCTTAAGGAGGTTCTTGGATGAAATGCTTATATTATCTGACCTTAGGGATAAATCCTTGTTTGCTTTTGAAGTCTGGACAACGTTCAAGCTGTAAAGTTTGTCTTCTGGCAATGAATGTCTGTGGATAGAAAGTCTCTTCATACTTTGAATATGGTTCCTTGCTCCACTGGCCCTGAGAGGCATTTCAACTTCTCTTTCTTGCAGAATGTTTCCCTTCCTCAGATCTATAGAACCATCTACAGAAAGTGTAGAAGGGCTTGATTGTCTTCTTCTGTCGCCCTTAAAACGTCCAAACCTAGTATCATCAAATTGTCCATCAACTAGCTTACTATTGAGCGATTTCAAGTTGTCTTTAAATGAACGCTTAGCAAATTCAATGGACCTTGCTGCTTTGGCTCTTTGTTTGTCGTAGCACTCCAAACTCTTCATTAGTTGCAAACCCTGGTTTTTGTTTTTTACCATGGCCATGTTGCCTATTTCGCTGCACTTTGACTGGCTTGGCTTCAAACCTTTTTTTAATGGGGTGCTGTGTGAATCCATCTCGAGAATTATCACTTTCTTGACACGGCTATGTTTTGATACTATACAACATGGTGGCTCACAGCTCAGTTGTATCCTACGGTGCCCTATACAAATATCTTTTGTGTTTGCCTTTTTGCAACGAACAATTAATCTTCGTTTTAATTAACTTTATCAATTTAATTCGTATTCTTAATTGAGTATTGTGAGTCCACAAAGAACACAAACAGTGAGAAAGCTGTTTACACCAGCTGGAAAAAATATTTATCATATAATTATCTATGAAATACCTATATTTCTCCATTTCGTAAAATTGATATTTTCACTAGTGAAAATAACACATTCGAGGTTTCTCTATATAGTGGAAGTAAGAAAAAAAGGTATTTTAGACCGATCCAAGGATAATCGACGCCATATTGCTTCAGGCGCAAATCAACTGGGGCGAGCGCGCGGTCAACCATACATTTCTTTGTTATTGTGTCGGATGGCCTTCAAAAAGTCCCCGAAAAAATATGTTCTGCTGATGGGATGTCTTTGAGACTCACATATGTCACAGATGATACATATAAAAAGCTATTTCAAGCTTAAAAAGTCAATAAATCCAAAAGGACGCGTTAATTTTGAACGATTTTCTCGATCTAGCGGGTCGGCCGCCATACATTTCTTTGTTATTGTCTCGAGCGGACTTCAAAGAGTTCTCGAAAAAATATGTTCTGCTGATGGGATGTCTTTGAGACTCACATATGTCACAGATGATACATATAAGAAACACAAGCTCGGCTTTTATGCCTGTTTGCTTCAGTCCACGAAGTGCAAAAAAGTCCTTGAGCGAGGTGACAGTCCAGTTCACGAAATCGTCGTATTTGAGCGTTTCTTGTTCCTGTCTCGGCATTCAAAAAGTCATAAAACCATCTAATATAATAATTGATGTCTTCTGGTTGACTTTAACGGCTTTAAAATGTAAAAACTAGCGAAATATTCGAAGATACAAGAGCAGGAGTTGATAGTCGTATTGTTGTTTATTGTTATATGTGTGTTTGGCYGCGCGCTCGCCCCAATCAGTGCGGGTCTCCTTGCGGTATATACGAGGTAAATCGTCATTCTCAAGGAAATCGCTTGGATTTATTGACTTTTTATTTTTGCAAAAGTTTCTTGTATGTATCATCTGTGACATATGTGAATCTCGAGGATATCCCATCAGTAGAACATATTTTTTTGAGAACTCTTTGAAGTCCGCTCGAGACAATAACAAAGAAATGTATGGCGGCCGACCCGCTAGATCGAGAAAATCGTTCAAAATTAACGCGTCCTTTTGGATTTATTGACTTTTTAAGCTTGAAATAGCTTTTTATATGTATCATCTGTGACATATGTGAGTCTCAAAGACATCCCATCAGCAGAACATATTTTTTCGGGGACTTTTTGAAGGCCATCCGACACAATAACAAAGAAATGTATGGTTGACCRCGCGCTCGCCCCAGTTGATTTGCGCCTGAAGCAATATGGCGTCGATTATCCTTGGATCGGTCTTACATGGTCGCTTGGAGATACGAATTTTATCTTCTCGTGTTGAGATCTTTTCAACACTCGAAGATAAAATCCGTATCTCCGCGCGACCATGTAAACTCCTCTATATCTTGCAGACCTTGCATGAATTTAGTTGAAAAGAGTTTGAAACTAATAAGCTTTTGTCAAGTGAATCCAATTATTTCATCACCCCGAATATTAGAGTCGCCTAAGAATGAACACTATCTCGAAACCGTTTAAACGGTTCAGGCAATCTAGCTTTTAAGGGGGAGGGGTATACATGGTTTTCTGTCAGTAGTCAGGCATGATTTTTTCGTTTAAGTCTTAAGAGGACATGTTTGTTTAAAATCACCCATTCATAGTGACTCAAACGAAGATCTACAGTCAATCTGAACTACATGTGCTGTGAATGATTCATTTTTTTTGTAATTTATTTTTTGTAATGAAGTCAACTTCAGCGTCGCGAGATTCTTTTGTTGCCGGTTAATTAGTAGTATTTGTCATTTCCATCACAAATACAATGTAGGAACAAACTGCATTTCATAAGGTCAAAACCCGCTGTAAATATCACGCTGTTAATAAAGGTGTCATAAGCAGATCCTTTATTATCATATTGAATCTTATACAATGATTTACGGTAAGGTCTTTTTCAATCTTCAAGGGTGTCTTCTTTGTCAGTCATAACACCACTTCCTCTATTATCCTGGATTTGAATCACGCGGAAAGAATGAGCCTCGTATGTATGACGTGAAGGGGCGGCTAGGAAATCAAAGCTTGGTGCACGCCTGTTCATCAAGGAGGCCAGTGGATCCTGTCGTGGTCGTAGTAAGACTGGAAGCGCATCATCATCACTATCAATAATTTGCATCAGTTGAACTAGACTTGCGGGATCTCTCTGTTGGTTTGATCTAACACCATTGGTATTTGACGTTAAGCCTAAAGACAGAAATGATTAAACCCAGTCCGCACCGTTTCTAGACAAAGCCGGACTTGGTGAGATCAAAGTCTTCAAGTGAAAACTCTACTGCCCCATCATAGTTAAAAGAACAAGGTATATAAGCTAAGGATGGCTTTGTTTTCATACATTATGCTTTTACATGTGAGCTTATTCATAAATCTGTTAGTCGACTATGTTATGAGGACATATAAAAGATATAAGGTAATTTAAGGTTACAAACCTCCTGCCGTAAGGTAACGAAATGGGTTTGCGCTGGCAATGGCGCGTACTCTTGCCGTCAAGTAGGTCAACATTTCCATGGGATGTGGCCATCTTTTACTTATATTGGATTCTTTTAAGGGACCTCCAACTACATTGACTACAGCAAGACCGCAGTAAGTCAGAAGTGCAAATACACCAGACATAAAAAGTGGCAGAGCAAGGCACACACAAAGTACAACACAAGCGATAACAATTACACCACTTTGGAATGCAGTGAACGCGAGGACACCAATCGTTAATGAGCCCATGACGACCGTGAGGAAAACAATCAATGGTATTGCACTTGCAGTCAGGAAAGATCCCAGAAACACCGACAGTAGAGGTCTCTCTTTTGCGACCTTTCTCAAACGGTGATACGGAACGGTGTTCCTCATTTCGTCGTAGAATGTTGAATAATTGTCAAATGGACTTCTTGACAACTTCTTGTTTCTTAGTCATCTTCATACCCAGTTACATTTTGGCAGTCGAGAATAATATTCTCATTTTCGCACGCATTTTTAATTTGTCTAAAGGAAAACTTATGACGTTTTATTTATCTATGACGTACCGATATCATTACGTCACCACTTTAAAAAAATCACTTAGGTGTGGGCTGCCTGTGGTATATGTTAATTCCCATGATCCAGTTCAGCCATCAACACGCGGTTTAGAGTCACGTGATCTTCCTTATTCACTTTCAACATGGCGGACATGGCGTATCAATCAGTTCCTCCACCTTCGGGTGCTTCAGAGCCAAATGCAGCGTTTGCTGATGCTCTAAAACGAGCAAAAGAGGTGAAGTAATCATTGAAGTACATTTTACACTATTTTTTAGATAAGCTAAACTTTGTTTTCGCTGTTAGATTGCCGCTCGTATGGGCACTGGTCCAACCTCAGATGTCGCTTCGAATAATTTACCATATCAAGAACTAGGTACGGTAGGGAACTGACTTCTAATGTACAAAAAATCCCTCTTGAACTCTTTTTTATGCCTTATAAGATATCAAAGGTCATTTTTTAGATCTTTTGAGTTCATTTTTTGCAGATTCCAGTCGAAAACGTCCTCATCCGGAAGAAGGTAACTTTTACTAAAATGTAGGCTACTTTTACAAGGTCAAAACATGTTGCCTCGAGTTCTTTCCACGGTTCCCTGAAATAATTAATAAGAAGAAAATTCTTGAATTATCATTTGGCCTACAATAACACGAAGAAGCGTCAAGTTTTTCTTCTATGTTGCACAAAGAAATAAAATAAACTGAGATCTTTCTTTAATAACATTTTCCAGCGGAAGAGCCAATAAATAAAAAACTGATGGCCGAAGCAGCAGGAGGAGGTAAGTTTTACATTTTCACCGCCAAAAATCAAGCCGAATGCGAAAAAGTGTCTGTTGTTCCGGGGCGCTCGTTAGACTGTTCTTTGTTTGATGGGTGCTTTGTCCATATATTTTGTTTTGATTCGTCTTTATTTTGTCTCTGGTCGTTGTACAGCCACACTAAATGAACAGTATTGGCCGTGTTTTTAAATTAATGAAGAGGAAATTAAAAAAAAGCACAGATTTCCACCTCAAAATGTTTCTATCTATAATTCTCTTAGCAGACTAATAATTTGATAGTTCTGCAAATATATTTTCTTTTCCTGCTCAAAAAAGATCTTATGAGACTAGACTGAGGCAATCACACGGCCGATGATACATTCTCTTTCAAAAATTTGCAAACTTGTTATTGTTTCCCAGCTTCAATTTTGCATCAAAATTTGGATTTCTGTCATTTGTTGTTTTGAATAATTGATTGAAATTTATATCCAAACAAGCCACTGATTTTGTAGGAGAATTTGTGGTTGGCTGAAATACATGTTACAACATAAACCGGAAGTAACTTAGGAATTGAAAAATATTATTTTTAAATTGAACAAGAAGCAAGACTAGCTTTTCCTACAGACTAGCATTTTTTCTTGAATCCAGACGAATGGAATCACTTGATTTTTGCCATCTAAACACCTCATGAGACCTTAGGCCTAGTTTCCATTCCTTTGTTTTCTATTGTTTTCAATTCACTTCCAGCTTATGTCGTAAGCATCTTTCTCACTCAGTTCTAGCTACTCAATGTACAAGATGTTGGCATTAACCTTGGATCAGTATTTTATGTTTGGATGGATTGTTTTTTGAAAAAATACACTGTACTCACAAAGCAAAAATGAGAGCTGGGTAAATGAGATTAATGGAAAAAATGCTTTTATCTGTGAAGCTTGATGCTTAGTTGGAAAATGTGTCTGCTTTCTCATGTGGCATAAATTTTTTCCCATTACATGTACTTAACTCATTCCCTACAGTGATAAATTTGTCAATTTTGGAGTTTTTTTCTGTGTTAGGATTTCATAAATTATTTAGCTTCCAAATAGGCAGTGGTCAATCAAACTATTGTCAATTCAAATCTCTCAGGAAATGTAAATTTCAATAATGCCCGTCCAATTTGAGACAGCTCGCTAGACTAGCCAGCACTCGAGCTCAAGTTTGCCAAAAAAAGGTTTATAAGTGCATTGTCATCTGCTGCCATAGAAGCCCCTAGCTCGACTAGGAAGCAAAGACACTCTTCTGGAAGAAATCAGAGGTGGAAAGCGATTTTTCGAAGTAGACGGTAACAAACCGAAGGTCGCTTTGAATTGTTGTCATTAGAGAAAGGTTGTTTCCCTCATCATCATAATCCTGTGGCATCCGAGGCCGTTTTCCTAGTCATTTTGTGGCAGATTTCAGAACCCACCAAGGTAAATTTGGCAAGTTTTAACATCCAAAGAATGCAGTCGATGCAATATTTTGCCTTTAGGTGCAAGTGACTTAGCACTTATAAAAAGTAGTAAAGTAAGATTTCTGGACATTCCCTGTCTCATAGATGTCAACATTCACAGGGTGCACTTGGGTCGTTCATTCGAGAAATGCGAGTTTGTCGAGGTGGATGTCCAAAGGGGTGGCTCTTGTATCGCCTAGGTAGAGAATTATTCCGAATAAAAATCCTTAAATGCAAGAATAGGAGGATGTAGCTTTTCAAAAATGTCGATTTTGTGCTTGAAAAGCATGAATTTCACATTGCAAATTGAGTAAAAAAAGTGAGCTTTTCGCTGTTATCCCAGGAAGTGCAAAATTTAGAATTGAGCATCCACGTCAAAACAAAACTCTTAATTGACCAAAAAAACTTTATTTCCGAAACATGCTTTGAATTGTAATATTGAATTTGTTGTCTTGTTATAATTATTGAAGGCATCACTCCTATGGTACTGATAATATCGTTGGCCATAGGGAAAGGGTTATGACAATTATGTTTAATAGTTTTTTTTCTGATTAGTTGATTAGTCGAGCCACTTTTATAACTATATATATTGTAGTTGTATTTTTATCTATTCTAATGTTATGTACAGTAATGCCCATGCGAGCATCTTCCCATGGAGTATGGGCAATATAAGTAATAAATTATTATTATTATTATTATTATTATTATTATTATTATTATTATTATTATTATTATTATTATTATTATTATTATTGAGACATGACTCAGTTCTCAACTTCATTGCCACATCGCTTAAACCTGAAATAAATGATCGCTCTTCACTGTATGCTGACGTAAATGGTTTCCGGAGTCCTTCAATTATAACTGGTGACACGTTCCGACCTGATCTGCTTTTGCTTATACACTCCAAATGTCTGTATGTCCTAGAACTAACAGTTGGTTTTGAGTCTAACCTTTGCAAAAACGCAATACGGAAAAAGGAAAAATACAAGGTCTTGATTAACGAGCTGAGCAGCAATTTTACGCGAGTTAAATTTATTAACCTATCTATGAGTTCTCTGGGCATTTTTTCAAATGAATGCTCCACCTTTCTGGACATGTTAAATGACATTGGGATGGACAAAACACAACGTTGCTATATTATAAGGAAAATGATCACTCTTGCTATTAGAACAACCTACTATATTTTTTGTTGTAGAAATAAGACATGGGATAGCCCTGAATTATTGAAATACTAACATTTTTTTAAATGTTTGTTTTAGTTTGATTTCAGTATTTGTAAATTCATTTATATTACATAATATATTTTTTTTTATCAATTCAAGTAGCCAGTTGTAAATTGCCTATACGTAGTGAGATTTTCAACTGTATGAATCTATAAACAAATAAAGTTTCCATTATAATTATTAATGCAATGTAGAAGGACCATTATCCTTGGACACTTTCCTTATTATATTTTCTTACATAAATATTCATTTTTCTTCATTAAAATTATGTTTGCCCCATTTAGGAATGCCAGGTCAAGATCTTCCAAAAGATCCTAAGTCAATAGCTTTACAAGTTGCAGCAAGTCTTGCACAAAGGTACAGTAATTGTTGTGATGCGACAATTTCACTTGAATTGAATTGTGCTCTACATCAGTTTTGTTGTGAATAACAATGTTTATGATTGGTATTAAACATGTTTTGAATTTGAGAGCAATATAAGATTACCGTATTTAATCATGTATAAGCCGCTCTCGTAGATACATGTAAGCCAGACCCCAAGTTTTCGGAACGTTTTTGTGAGAAAAAAAAAAGAAACGGAAAATAAACTTTTCTCTTTGTGATCACCACCTSCAAACACAGTTTTTGTCGATTTTAATGTGCTTTCCCTCTGCTCGATTTCCGTGACATGCGTATTTGATTACAATCATTTTATAATTTGCAGTGTATGATGGTCTTGGAGTTTCTTGTGTAGATATAATTGTTTAGATTGATAATTGATACTATATAAAGAGTTGTTTTTCATTTTCATAGTAATTAAGTGATATATATCTCATCATGACACCAAACGTCCAAACAAACAGATCAAAAACACTCTCACCTAATTGGCTCATGAAGTGCTGTCTTTACACTATTTCAAAAAGTATGAAAGCAGATGGTATTAATGTAATATAAGGAACAATTTAGTAGGCTTGTTTCTTGGGTATTCAAAATATTTACCCTGAATTCTTCACTTTAAGCGTGACAATGTCGCTTAAATGAACAATGCAAATTAGTATCACATTATCAAAACAACTCCAAGACGAAAGGATTAAAAATGCTATCCGTTCATTGGCTCAATAACCACACACTTACACACTTTTCAGTTTGATTTATTGACTTGTGTTTCTCAGAGTGTTCCTAGGCAATTAACGCATCGCCAACTGTCTGTAGTAAGTCGCATACTGAATGCTGAATCAAAACTTACAACTATGGATTTTATAAGCATCTAAAATGCATTCTATAAAGAACAGAACCCTAAAGTAGAAAAGCCAATTTTAGATTTATATGCAAATTAGCTAGTTTTTTGGGCTTTTTTACAAGTCTTCTTGTAGATAAGCCATAGCCCCGATTTGGAAACGATTTTTTTGAAAAAAAAAATGGGGCTTATACATGAGTAAATACAGTAGATCAAAATCATCAATTTTCTGTAATGATATATAGGGCAGGACTTGGCTCGATGACAACAGTTGAATTCAAAATTCCAAATAAATTTGTTGGTTTAGGTGAGTATGTAATCAGTGATATCTGCTGCTGATGGTTTTCTGTACAGTAATTCATAATGCAAGTTGATTAGTACTGCTTCAATGTGTGTTAACATAAAATGTTGACTGTGATTGTGCGTGGGTTTTTCAAGGATTTTATTGGGTTGTGCAGGTCACTGTTTTTGCTGTAAGAAAATGCACACAATTTTGTCTGTATGTGCCAAATCTACGTGTTTAGTAGCTCATTAACTGCCAAGATTGTTTAACATTTGTACATCAGTCTGAATGCATTTAAAAATAAAGAAACAAAACATGGACAAAGGGAAACTCTCTAACTCAAACCATAGTAGACTATGCTTAAAACAACAGTTCTCGTCACAGAATCTGGCATTATGCACTAGTGTGGACCCACGTAATTGGCCATGCTCTGCACAGTCTCATATAATTTGTCAAAAAAAATCAACATATATAGATGTTGTAGTTCAGGTTCAATATATTTTTGAACCTTTGGCATTCTTAAAAGAACTAAAAGAACTATATCCCATCTCATTCTCTCCCATTTTCTATCTATCATCTTATTTTCTACCTTCTACTATTTCCTACTTTATCTTACGCTATACCCCACAGAAATATTGATATTTTTAATTTATGTATAACACTTACCTTCATAAGGGTTTGAACCACTGAACTCTTGCTTATAGTCAGTACAGTACTACCAATTGAAGGGGCGGATGCGAAACCGACTTAAGTGACGATTTAGGGTATTTTCGAAATTTTCGAAAAATTAAAAAAACATCATTCCAATCGCTTATTTTAAGTCTAAATAACCTTATTTAGTACTTATTTCTCCTGATTTCTTTCCAAAAAGAGCAAAAAAGGACCCATAGTTACCGACTTCTTTGGCTTGACAACTGATCGCTAGACCGTAAAATATCCTAGATTTGCATATTCGCGCTAAACTCATGACTTTGACAGTTGGTTTGCCGGTTTGTTTTGGTTCGAAGCTGTGCTGCAAGAAGTCGAGAAATGAGTTTTTTCGCGGTTTTCTCAGCCTTTTTGCCTTTAGTCACTACTCTACGGACATCATTAAGTTTGTAGGTAGCGAAGGAGCTTACTTGCTGAAAGAATCCAGCTTGGTGTGTGACTTTTTAAGCGATTTCGATTCCGCGGTTCATTCGATTAACTCGGACAGTCGCTTGAAGAGAATCACTTAAAAGACCGTCTAAAGGCAAATCCTTGGAGCTGCCACGGTAATTTTTGGATGTTTTGGCTATTGAGGAACAAAAGCGACTTGAAATTTTGGCAGATTTCCGAGAAGGCTGTAGACTTTATATAAATTTCTATTTCAGATTGGACGGAATCGTTGCTCACGGCGTGTGTAGATTTTTCCCAGAATTCATTGCGTGCAAAAATCCGGTTAAAAGACGTGTTCTGAATCAGTGTCCAAAGAGAAAGCCGTAGCATGAGATCTTTATGGAAAATATGAAAAATAAAACGCTTAAATGACAGAAGTAGGACTAAAATTGTGTACCAACAGTCATTCGCTTCTTGAAATCTAGAATTTTGTAGGAAAAAAAGACAAGGAAATAGTGCTTTTTAGTCACTGTAGGCGAGAATTAGAGTCAAAACTGCCCTTGTTTTCGGTTAATTTTTGTGACTT